CACTGACTGTATATAAAGACACTGACTGTATATAAAGACGATCACTGACTGTGTGTGTTAGCTCTATAGAGTCTGTGATGGGCGTGGCTGCTGCTGGAGGTCCATTCACCTTGTTGCTGACAGGAACTCTTTATCTACAGGTATGACACAGACACACTCAGGCTCCTCCCATATAACAGTTTTCCAGCCAATCAGAGACTCTGAAGTTGTCGGTGTTTGAAAAACGAGACAGAATTGTTCAATGAGAGAGAATCACAGCATCATGTCCTAAACAGGTTGATTCAAACAGGTTTTCTTCTATTTGACGTGACGTTGTTCTTCTGTTGCAGGCCAGAGAGTACGTCTCCGTGTTTGTGGACAACGCCAGCGGCTCGGCCATCAGCGTCCTGCGGGACTCTCTGTTCTCTGGGATCCTGCTCGGAGTCTGAGCTCAAACACCAACAGCTCATGTCCGTCAGCAGAGTGGAACAGTGGAGGGACATCTCACATCGTCCTGAGACCTGCAGCAACTCAACAGAAGCTTTAGAAGTTAGACCTGGTCCAACGTTCACACATCTGAGGAGCAAGGGGACGAGACTCAGGACGAACGAGATGCAACAAACTGTCCCGAACCATTTTCATCTCCATCACACTGATCGCTCTCCCTTCACTTCCTGTCTGACTCTTCATCCACTCTCACACCCGGGACACAACCTTTACTCCTTCAGCTTCACTGTGTCAGAAACAGCTGAACTGTCTCATGGTTCATTTAGTTTATGTCCAAATTCACTTCAGTTTTAAAAGGTTTTCCTTTAAGCAGAGAAGAAGAAATCAACACATCCAGGCTCAGACAAACAGACGTGCATCTTTTATTTAAAGGAGAAATATTCCATATTCTTGAGGATCATTTTGTTCGGGTTATTACAATTAAATGTGTTCATGCTCTAATGAAAACACGTCGCTGTCCTCAGACTGTCCATCGCTGCAGCTCCTCTTTTCAGCCTCTGTCTCAAACACTTGGTCTGAGCTCCTGTCTCTTAAAGACTCCCCTCCTGATAAAGTCTGCTCTGATTGGTCAACAGCTTCCAGTTCTCGTAGGAAATGTCGGCCTCTGCTCCTGGTTTACCTGACGTTGGTATGAGTCTTGTCAGATTAGCTGCGAGGTGTGTGTTAGCATAATGAACGGCTAGCGATTGGTCCACACAACACCTCCTGATCTCGTCATGTGACATCACGATGATGTGTGGGCGGGACTACTGACAAGGCGTTAAACACTGAACAAACGTCTCATTTAAAGGACGTGAACATGACGACTGTATCGGCCTGAAACTGAAACTCTTGTGTCCTACTTTGTTCTCGCTGTGAAATAAAACGCTGAGTGTGTAAACGCCTGCAAGTTTTCTCTCTCAGATTTTCTAACGGACACACCACGACACAATCCGGACCCGAAAGAAACGTTACAACCAGAAACCTCAGCTGCTGGTGTTGAGTCACTCTTTCCAGGACTTGTGGACTGGTGAACAAAGACGTCTGTGTTGAACTGTAAGATCGTAAGAAACCTCGGCCTCCTGACTGTGGCTGTTGGAGCGAGGCTGAGAGACTCCAGACTGATCACTGCCGAGGACGTCGTTCACACGTTCATTGGGAGAAGCAGATGCCGTCTGTGCACATGACGGTGTGAATGACAGGGAGTGAATCCATGTTTGTGAGTTGATGATGCTGAGAAAAACCTGGAGCTGCACTTTGTTCTTCACGTCGCAGAGCAGAAATCATCTCCTGACAGCTGCTGTGGAAGAATCAGTCTCTGTGGAGGAGTCAAAGCAGGCCACTCTCCTGGAGCACCACCTCGTGGACATTAGAGGAAGTGCGGTCATGGAGGCTGGTCGACTTCTGGGGTCGACCTTTATTCAACCACTGATGATATTTTGAAATCTTACACGTTTTCACGCCGGCGCTCAGCTGTTGAAGAATTTGTGGTCAAACGTCGGAAAGGACTCGACGCGTCGACGAGCAAAATAAGTGAGAAGTGAAGCAACAGACTTTTCTTCAGGTGGAAATATTAGAAATAAACACGTAAACAGGAGCAGAGTCTTTTCGCCCCCTGCTGGTCACAGTCATGTAGATTTAATGATGGTGTGATACCTGACCTCATTTTACTTTCATATGAATATTTATTCTCTCGATGTGATAAACATGTGCTGTGTGAATAATTATGATAATAAATGTTTTACTCTCCATCCACGACTTGTTACTCATCATTCCAAATGAAATGAAATATTGAAAACATCATTCACTTTGATGACGGAGTCTCAGGACGAGCATTTGTCAGACAATAGCTGACAGCATTAGCATTAGCAGAATGCTAGCTTGACAAAGGGAGAATATTTGACGTAATATTTTTTAAATTTTAGTTTTAGATTTATTATCGATAGAAGATTCACAGACAATAAAACAAGACTTTTTGTCCAGGTCTTAATATTTATTTCAACCGTGACGCTCCATTCATTGTTCCCTCACGTCTGGTTCCAGAGGTTTCTCTCTGTTAACGAGGGAGTTTTCTCTGACCAGCCTCCAAGTGCTGCTCAATGTTCAACTCTACACTAAAGAGGATTTGAAGATCTTGATCTTCTCTGTAAAGAGCCTGGAGATTGTGTTTAGTAGGATTTGGTGCTAAACAAATAAACTTGAACTGAAATGAATTCACTCCAGTTCATTAACAGGAAGTAGACTGGCTCTCGTAGGCAGGAAGTCAGTGATTCATTCATCAACAGGAAGTCAGTGATTCATTCATCAACAGGAAGTCAGTGATTCATTCATCAACAGGAAGTCAGTGATTCATTCATTAACAGGAAGTCAGTGATTCATTCATTAACAGGAAGTCAGTGATTCATTCATCAACA